AGGCAGAGACAGTCCTCGACTTACGACAACAATTGAGCCCCAAATTTTGGTTGCTAAGCAAGAGGACTGTTAAAGTGAGTTTCGAATTCCAGCCTCCCGTGGCAAAGCACCCACAACTTCTGAAGGCAGGCCCTTCCACTGGTTAACTGTCCTCCCTGTTAGGAAGTTTCTCTGCGCAAGTTAAAAGGAGCCTGGATAGCTCAACAGACAGAAGCACTGTAATTTAACACCAGCTGTCTGCAATTTCTGCAGGTTCGAATCTTACCAGGCTCAAGGTTGACTCAGCCTTCCATCCTTTCTAAGGTAGGTTAAATGAGGACCCAGTTTGTGGGGGCAATAAGCTGACTTTGTATAAATATACAAAAGGATGAAGGCTATTGCTTAGCACATTGTAAGCCGCCCTGAGTCTCCGGAGAAGGGCGGCATATAAATCAATTTTTTTAAAAAAAAAGGATGTCCAGAAGACAAGACAGTCCTCAAGATACCAAAGGTGGCCGGGGGATGAAATGATCGAAGGTCCAATATACAATCCGGGGTGGAAGTGTGTGCGTCTTTGTGCCTGCCTCTGTGCTCTGCAACTGCTGCTTGAAGCCAAAGCAGCGAGATGGATGAAGCAGTGCCCTTCACACAGGCTGGGGAAACGAGATCTTTAGGCAGGTAAGTAGCAACATCCCTCTTGGTGAGCGACCGCACTTTTGGTCTCCTTTTTGCGACCTTCTGAGAAACAAACTCGACGGGGAAGCCGGATTCATTGAAGAGCAGCGTCACTCCCTTAACAACTGCAGGGATTCACTTAACAACTATGGTGAGAAAGGTCATATAATGGGGCACTGAACGACGGTCTTGCTGAGCAACTGAAATTTTGGGCTCAATTGTGGTTGTAAGTCGAGGTAGTCTTCTAGCAGAGCTATTCCGAGATACATTTGATCCAACAGCACTGCACAAATATCTTTGCCGCGCACAGCAAGATCTTATCCGTTATTTACCCGTTCAGCTAATGGCCTGTTTTTCTATTCAAGCACGTAAAAGAGGCTAGCAAAGTTTAAAACATACGGGAGGACAAGAAAAGGGAGTCCTCCTCAGGCCTCTTGTGAAGTGAAAACAAGGCCTGTAGCGTAGCTGCGACGGATACACGAGATCCATGAAAGCCAACTGTACAAGAACACGGGGAGACAGTCTGGTTTGTTTCAGGAACCTGTCACTCTGCAAGACAGGCTGTTTCCCTCTTCCGAAAACTCAGGCTATGCTTGCAGCCCAGCTCCCTCTCTCTCTCCCCCCCCGTGGAGGTCAGCTTCCTCCTTCAAGCCAACAAAAGCAAACCGCTCGCCGGCTGATCGGAAAGTGATCGCGGCGGCGCTGCTGAGAACACAAACAGCTTCTTTTCATTCTCACAGAGATCTTGACCTCGAGAAGGAAAACTCTGCAGTGTTTTCTCTCCCTGAACAACCATTCTGGTCCCTTTCTCGCCTGCAAAAGGCCTATTTTTTTTTTTTCTTATCTTTCTTTTCTTTTTTTTGGCCTTGTTCCGACAGCCGAGACCTCAATCTGACATTTGCCCCCTTTTACAAAAGAAACAAATAAAGCCTGAGTATTAGTTCATACTTTTTTTTTTTGCCACACTGAGAACTAGAGATTCTAGTTCTGAGGCTAGATGCAGGAAGTATTTTTTTTGGGGGGGGGGGGGTTTATGGAGGTTGGTTGTTGTTGTTTTTGCAAGGTTGAGGACTAGAAACCTGGCCCACATGCACCACTGTTGGTTTGGGTGCGATTTCCTGAAAGAAGAGTAAAATTTTCTTTTGTGCCCTCTCGAATGCTATAACAGATAACAATAGTGGGATTTCTCCTATTTCAGAGAATTGTTTTCATCACAGGCCGGCCTTCCTTCTTTCCTTCCCCTCCATTCCTCCTTCTGCCCTTCCTTCTGCTCCCCCTTCCTCCCTTCTTCCTTCTTTCCTTCCCCTCCATCCCTCTTTCTGCCCTTCCTCCCTCCCCCACTCCCCTTCCTCCTAATGCATTTCTGCTTTTCTGCCATATTTCCAATTCTTGCACGACTCAGGATACTTGGCGGTTATTCAGCTATGACTCTTAGGAATTCCCCCTTGCACGCATGAAAAATTCATCGCTTCATACCTTCCCATTAATGGCTGCCAAAAACTTGGCAAGGAAGGCTTAACCACAGTTGTGGGAATGGATCTGAAGGTCCCGATCACCACCAGAGTTAAAAGGTACCATACTCAAAGCTAGCGTGGGGCCATTTCTGGATGCTTTCAGGGTACGAATGGTGACCCAACAATCCAGCTGGTCCTGTTGTCATCACAAACTACCATCCTTCAAGAGCAGAAGAGCAGTCCAGAGTTATACAGGCATGTATGAACAACTCCAACTATCCCAACCAATCTGGGAGCCTCCTTTAATCGGAGCTCAGCATCAAACTCTTGTAGACTGTGAGTTCCTACAAAGAAAGAGAGCCACCCCAGGGATGTTTAAGCTGTTGGACTCGCTAGCCTAAGGAACTCTTCCTAAGGATGTACAGTAGTGGCCAAAATTGTGGAAACCTTTTGGGAAAAGTGTGTTTTCTAAAACTTAGCTAATAACACCACTTTTTTTGGAGTAGTACCATAAAATTGTATATCAATGGAAAGATAAAAATTTAAAGGCACAGTACTTCCTCAGTCCCTATAATTGAAGAATGATAGAATCCCACAGATAAATTGCGTAGCATCGCCATGGAAAAAACGAGATACACAAAAATGATCACCATGTCAGTTAATCCTGAGTTGGGTCACCTTTAGCATGGATGACGGCCTTACGATGTCTTCCCATGGAGGGAACCAAGTCTTTTAGTTCTGCAGCTGTTCTAATGTGGAACCAAGATTGAAGGATGGCTTCTATTAACTGGGTTTTATTGCTGGGTCGCTTCTGACTTAACAAGTTTCTTTAGTCGGCTCCATAGATTTTCAATGGGGTTAAGGTCTGGGCTATTCCCAGGTCATTCCAGCAGTGGAACAGGATTATCTTGAAACTCCAAAAAAGAAAAAGTGGTGTTATTAGGCACCAAACCTCAAAAATATACTTTTCCCAAAAGGTTCCCACAATTTTGGCCACTACTATATTACAAGTAATCCTCGACATACGACTACAATGGAGCCCAAAATTTCCATCATTCAGCAAGACAGTTAAATGAATTTTTGCACCATTTTTTTCTTGCCCACCGTTGTTAAGGGAATGACTGCAGCGGTTAGTCACACGGTCTAAATTAAGCGAACCTGAGTTGCCCCTTGACTCTGCTTGTCCTGTATGATCAGTTAAAAAGGGCACGACGGAAGCAAAGACACGGGGAGAGAGAAAGTGAATAGCAACGGCATAAATTCACATGTGACATTTTCTCTCTCTTTTTTTCCACCTCTTGCTTTTCCTTTTCTTACAATGTCTTACTCTCTCGCCTCTTCGCGTGATGCCTCTCGTCCCAGAAGGGAAGATGCCAGATTGATATGTACGTACTGAGGCATGTAAACAGCCACACGCTTGGCTGCCGGTGTCAGCCGAGAACTTTTCATATCTATTTCTAAATCAGAACTAAACCCAAAAGCAGAGAAGGAAACGGCAAATAAACCAGGCAAGACGTATCGCCCGCACCTCTCAAGGCAGAAATATAAAAATTCAACCTGATTATTCGGGAAATGCTATTAAAATATCAAGCTAACGTTTTCTGGGAAAAGCCAAATTTTAATGAAATGTTCTGGTCTGGTGAACGGATCTACGAATTAAGTGCTCCCCACCCCCTGTGGTGGGATTCAAATAATTTAACAACCAGTTCTCTGCCCTAATGATTTCTTCCAACAACCAGTTCACCAAACTGCTCAGAAAGTTAACAACCGGTTCGCCCGAAGTCGTGAGAACCGGCTGAATCCCACCACTGCCCCCCCCCTCTTAATTCACAACGACACAACAGCATGGGCTGGGACTCAAGCTTATCGTCCATCCTGGTCTCTTAGCCCCAATTAAAAGACCGATCAACATTCATGGTTAGCTGGCCTCCAGGTACAGACCGGTATGCCAGCCTAAAAAGCTACAGCTAGTCCTCGACTTATGATCACGTTGGACGGTGGTTGTTATGTGAGCTGCGCCTGGTTTTTACAGCTTTTTCACACACACCGACGACTTTTAAACAAATCAGTGCAGTTGTTAAGGGAATCCGGCAGTCGTTTCTCCCATTGGCTCTGCTTGTCAGGAGGTCGCAAAAGGGGATCACAGGACCCCCCCGGGACACTGCGACTGTCATAAATATGAGACAACTGCCAAACAGCTGAATCTGAATCATGTGACCATGGGGACGCTGCAATGGTTGTTAAGTGTGAAGAAAGGTCATAAGTCGCTTTTTTTCTGACCTCGAAAGGCCACTAAATGAACTGTTGTAAATCGAGGACTACCTGTATAACAAGTGTCTGTGGAGATTCTCAGTCATCCAAGTCGTGGTTGTCTCTCTAAGGTGCTTTTTCAAAAGACAACTCCAAAGGAGGAGGAGGAGGAGGAGGAGAAGGAGGAGGAGGAGAAGGAGGAAAAGGAGGAGGAGGAATAAGAGGAAAAAAAGGAGGAGGAGGAGGAGGAAGAGGAAAAGGAGGAAGAGGAGGAGGAGGAGGAAGAAGAACAGGAAGAAAGAAGGAGGAAGTAGGGAGGAGGAGGGGAAGAGGAAGAGGAAGAGGAAGAGGAAGAGGAAGAAGAAGAAGAAGAAGAAGAAGAAGAAGAAGAAGAAGAAGAAGACAACATTTCGCTTCTCATCCAAGAAGCTTCATCGCTTCTACATTCTGCCAGAACTGATGAAGCTTCTTGGATGAGAAGCGAACCCTCTTCCTCTTCCTCAAGGAAGAAATAGTCCAGTTGCCTTTTGAAAAAGCACCTTTGAGAATATAACAAGGAAAGTCACAAATTCCTTGGCTCAGGGACTCTCATTCGCACACACACAAAATGTGTTATAAGAGCTGAGTCTCTCTCTCTCTCACCTCCCGGCCGGTAGACAACATCGTCCTCGGTGATGAACGAGGTGATCTCCCCATTGTCGGTCCTCTCGTAGCGCGACTTCTTCTTGGGCGGCTTCTTTTTGTTCTTCTTGGTGGACTCCTCGGTGGTGGCGCTGTTGTTGTCATTGTCCTCGTCTTCGCTGTGGTCGCTCTCGGCGTAGTTCTTGGCGCCGCCTTCCAGGGTGCAGCTCCGGCGGGGCCGCGAGTTCTCGCTTTCCCGTTGTCCCTTGTCCCGTTTGTCTCGATCCCGGTCTTTCTCTTTCTCTTTGTCCTTCTCTTTGTCCGCTGTCATGATGCGCCAGGTGCCTTCTTCCGTCCTCTCACGGCTCGGCCTCCGTGAAAGGTAGACAGTCAGCCTGGGCTTCAGTCTTCTGAATTTCGCACTCCACTCCAGGAAAAATTGGACCACGCCGGTAACCCCAGTGTTTTAAAAAAAGGCCCTGGAGAAGGAGAGAAACAAAGAGAAAGGCTACGTTAGCCAACGATGACCCTTCGGCATTCACCTGCGACAAATTCTCTGCTGGTCAAACTGTCGGCAGGGTGTCAGGCAGCCTAAATACGCATCACCCATGTAAGTGGGAAGTTAATGGAAGGATTGGGTGAGCCCCATTGTCTTCCAAACTCACCGAATCTTAAGGGGGAAAGAAACTTGGACCTCATCAAACGTTTTGTGAAACGCGCTGGAGGAAGTTTGAAGGCGCTATTTTTTCATCGCGTTCCTAGGAACAAAGTTTTCCTGGTTTTTTTTTTAAATAAAAGCCGCAGGAAAACAAGACACCCTTGGGGTAACTAATCTTTGTGCTTCAAATCCAAATGTGGAGCTCAAAGGGAATACAGACTGCGGGATGTACGCTAATCTGCCACACATTTTTTTTTTTTATGTGCATGGAAAAACATCTGGTGAGACGAAAAAGAAAGCGGGGGAGAGGAAGGAGTTTCAACTGTCCTTTCCTGGGGAACAAAACTGTGGCCATCCATCCTAACCAGTTCCATCAGATGGCCTGCAAGGAAACCATCTGGTCTCATTAATGGTTATTTGTTTTCTCCATCTGAAGCTCAACCTGGCCATGCCTTCGCCCCCAAGATTGGGGACATACAGTATATCACAGAGGGGGCGTGGTTTCACTTCCTTGTCTGCATCCCGCGGATGGGGCTCCGCTTGTTTGCACGGTCCGGTTGCTGGCATGCCGCGGCCTGGTGCTAGTGCACAGACCGGAGGTTGGGGACCCCTGTTCTAGCAGGAATATTGAGGCTGCTCAGCCCCAAAGAAAGCCCCTGAGTCAACGTCTCTGACGTCACAAAATTCGGCACCTGGGACGCCATCTAAGTAATGGCATGTACGGGCCAAGGGCCTTTTACATCAAAGCCTAATACCATCCCACTCACTTTCTGACAATGACTTTTCCAGCACCCTAATAAATTTCTATTCTTTCTCTCGGAGAGGACATGCCCTAACTAACCAGATATAATGTGGTTAAGAGGCTCAGCCACAAATCTGTCTCCTCTTGCCCCACACTGGAACCATCTTCTTAAGTCTTTGCAATCAATTCCCTTGTTTTAATTAAAAAAAAAAAAAAAAGAGGGAGGGAGGGAGGGAGGGACAAAAGGCATTCTTCATAAGCTTCCACCTAGGCGTACAGGGCTTTACAAAGGGCACGTCGGTTCGTTCAGGAGCCCCGCCATCTAAACCAAGACACAGCTAAATGGCGGCGAAGCACTAGATCGGGGGTCCTCAAACTTTTTAAACAGGGGGCCAATTCACGGTCCCTCAGACTGTTCGGGGGCCAGGCCAGCTGGATGGGCGTGGCTAGGTGGCCATGTGAATGAGTGGGCGTGGCCAATTTAGCAGTCTAAAGAATACACACAAATTAAAGTTTAATTTGTTAAGCTCCCGAGGGTGGAAAGCAGGATAGTGAAGGGATGTGGCTGCCTTGGGGTGTGTATGAGAGACTTGTGTTTGTGTGTGTGTGTGTGTGTGTGTGTGTGTGTCTCCACTAGTATCTCTCTGCCGTCATTTCTGGCCCCCGGGCCATAGTTTGAAGACCCCTGCACTAGATCCAAAGCAAGCTTCAGCTCCTGCATTTGCAGCTAATGGAAATCAATTGCCAGTCCGTCTTAGAGGATTATTCAGAGAATTAGAATCCATGCGAAGCCATTAAAAAAAATATACATCAGGACTCAAGAGGCTGGTCGATACCTGCAGTTAAGCCACTGCTGTCTACCCTCACTGCAGCGGTGAAATCTGGCTGGATCTATCTGGCTCGTGCGAACTGGTAGGGCCAGTGGCGAGAGGCTCCGCCCACCCACCAGGATGTCATTACGTCCCTTTTTTGACCCTCTGTGCATGAATAGAAGAGGCGCGCACGCTCACATTTCTGAACCGGTAGCGAAGGTAAGTGCATTTCACCGCTGCCTCACTGGAAGAAAATGCACAGCTATCCTATGACCGGATCTCGGATCCAGATCTCCTGTGTGTGTCCGATCCTTTCCAAAGGAAAGACTCCAAATCCGGAGCCTTCTTCCAGGTAAATGGGTGGGCTCAACGCATTGTATGAAGTCATATGTGGTTTGTTTGATGGGGGGTGGGGCTCCGTGGGAAGCAGCCTGGATAGTTTACATGGCTGCTATTTACAATCTGAATTAGGCCTCCCAGGTTTGTTTAGGAAACAAGTTCTTAAGACAAGCCAGGGCCTTTTTTTTTTTTTTGCAAAATGAGCAAACTAGGCCAGAGTATGTTACACACACACACACACACACACACACACGTTCTCTATCACACGCAAACCCCACAGAGATTGTAAAGGCAACCACAGCTACACAGAGGCAAGCCTACCATGTTTATCCAAAAATAAGACCCTGTCTTGTGCTTTTTTGAACCCCGGAATAAGCACTTGGCCTTATTTTCGGGGAGGTCTTATTATTTTGGGGTGCGTGGAGGAAACCAGAGGAAATGGCGGGGACTTGCTGTGCATGTGTTTAAATATTTTCAGGGAGGGCTTATTTTCACGGGGGGCTTAGTTTAGTGCATGCGCTCAAAAGCCCGATTGGGCTTATTATCAGGGGATGTCTTATTTTAGGGGAAACAGAGTAGTGGTTTTATAAAAAAAATCCTAGGGGAAAGAGACTCTCTATGACGTCGTCATCCCGGAAACACCCATTTCAAGAGGCCGATATATTTGCAGCATGGAAGGGTCAGGGATGGCAATAAGTAGCTTTGAAGATCAAAATCTGCTCCTTTCAGAACTTAATCATCTTCTTTTTAAAAAAGAAAAGGGGAGGGTGAGCAGCTAATGAATTCTTAAGACCTGGTTGACTTTATTCCCAACAACGGTAACCTTCAAAATGATAAATTGACTTTGCTGTCATAGCCTGAGATTCAAGGTTTTTCTCCGTTTACACACACCCCTGGTATTTTTTTTCCCCCCAGATGGAGGCAAACAGCTCAGGAAGAGATTAAACAGCTCTAGAAAATGATGTCCTAACGCGGCGACACAAAGACGCACACATACGACAACGAAGAGTCTACACCACACAAAGATTGTTCTGGTACTAGAGGCTTTGCGTAAGCAGAGTGAGCGAACTGGAGAAGCTTCTTAGATGAAAAGCAAAACATTTAAAAAAAAAAACCAAGCCAAGAAAGTCCACTTGACTTTTCAAAAGCAACTTTGAGACTCCTGGATGACTGAGAATCTCTACAGATTTTTAGCAATACAATTTGGGATGAACGCTCTTCCAATGGCGTGGGAGTAGGAATGGATTTCCAGAGGGAAAAATTGCAGACCACAGCACTACTCAGGTGACCCTGAGGACACAGATAAATCTCCAAGTGCTTCAGCGACCTCTAAAAAGGATGCAAAGGACCAGCGGTCTGCAAGGAGTATAAATCCTTCCTTTCCCCACCATCCAGTCAGAGCTGAAGAAGCTTCTTGGATGAGAAGCGAAACGTCTTCAAAGAAAAAACAAAGTACAGTTGCCTTCTGAAAAAGCATCTTTGAGACAACTACAACCTGGATGATGGAGAATCTCCACAGGCGCTAGAAAACAAAAAGAGTTCCATGTTTTGATTTCTGACATGCCACATCAGAAGACGATTGATGCCCCAGTGCCCAAAAAACCCAGGTGAGACTAGTAAATGGATACCGAATATGCACCCATGCCGGCTCTAGCAGCCAGCGTGCTTCTTTTCGGCAGGAAATCTGATGGGAGACGAGAAATCCAACCCTCCAGAGATATCGTGATGCGGTAACTACTCCAACTTTCCTCTTTTTTTTGTCAAACTTCTTGGAAGTCCGGAAATCCCTTGCCTGATTTGCAAGTGGCCTGATTTGCAAGAGGGATCTTGGAGTCTTAGTGGACAACTAGCTAAATATGAGCCAGGAGTGTGCAGCGGCAACCAAAAAAGCCAATGCAATCCTAAATTGCATTAACAGAAGGATACAATCAAGATCAAGGGAGATACTAATACTACTCTATAAAGCCTTAGTAAGGCCCCACCTAGAGTACTGCATCCAGTTTTGGTCACCACACTATAAAAAAGATGTCGAGACTCTGGAAAGAGTGCAGAGAAGAGCAACCAGGATGATTAGGGGACTGGAGGCTCAAACATACGATGAATGGTTGCAGGAACTGAGTTATGTCTAGTTTAGTGAAGAGAAGGACCAGGGGAGACATGATAGCATCTTCCAATATTTGAGGGGCTGCCACAGAGAGAAGGGGGATCCAGCTATTTTCCAAAGGCCAGACATGGAACAATGGATGGAAACTGATCAAGGAGAGATTCAACCTGGAAATACGGAGAAATTTTCTGACGGTGAGAACATTCAACCCGTGGAACAGAAGTTGCCTTCGGACGTTGTGGGAGCTTCATCCTTGGAGGCTTTCAAGAAGAGACTGGGCTGCCATTTGTCAGAGATGATGTAGGATCTCCTGCTTGGGCGGGGAGTGTTGGACTAGATGACCTACAAGATCCCTTCCAACTCTGTTAATCTGTAAACACGCAAGGAAGCCCACCAGGCCACAGAGCCTGGAACGGGAAGATCCTTACGACGAGCAACACGGCCCCAATGGCCGGAGTGTCGGCTTCAAAGCGACTGCGGTTGCTGGTTTAATCTTCACCAAAAGGTTCTAAGAAGGCAGACAGTGGGAGCGGCAGTGACTAATTAGAAATGTGACTGGACTGGACAGCTCTCTGGAATCCGTTTCAAGCAGACACCTTGCGTAAATATCAAGAGAGAAGAAAGCAGTTTCCCCTTCCAGGCAGCAGCAATGTCCATCCATCCTTCCGGAGACGGCTCGCCAAAGCCAAGCCGCTTCCTTTCTCCGTTCCCCCTCACCCGAGGCAGATGGCAGGATTTATCACCAAGATTAGACAAATTCTTTTATTTGTCCAACCAGCAACGGGCCTAGAGAGGGGCAAGTGGCAGTCGTGCCACCGCG